CAGGCTACCTCAACGCGAAGGTGGACGCCGAGTAGCGCACATGTCTTGGCGTACTCAGCCGTCAAGGTATTGACAACGTGAATGACAACGGGTGGTGTTTGTTAAATTTCTGTGCCACAAACAGTTTAACCGTTGGAGGGACACTTTTTCCTTATAGGCGCATTCAAGAAACCATCCGAACATTCCCGTGATAGAACTTTAGACACTAAAGTGGAAATGCGACGTCCTCATCAACCGCAAATGCCGTAACTCACTAATCAAGACTCGTGTCAGGCGTGGCATCTGCAATGGGTCTGGTCACCATATGATCAAAGCCGAACTTCGTCAAAAATTAACTGCATAGCATCAAGGAAACCCAGTCGAAACATGTCAGCTGCTAGATGCTAACAGGCTAAAATACGAGGTAGTGCACGGTCTGCATACGAAAAGGGGAGTTATTTTAATGTCATCCGCAGTCCCCAGTCAATGAAGCTTACAAAGAATTTTAAAAAGTCATTTTCTCAGCGAAAAATATAAATGATGTCAGGAAGACAATGGCCTCACTGCCCTGGGTCATGGTGAAAATCCTAGCCCTTAAAGTGAAGAAGGAATCAGGCAAAGAAGAAATACTTGTAACACCCTACTACACTTTCAGCCAGGCAGCTCATCGTCGTCTATTCCGTCCAGCAGTGATCTGGAACTAGAGGCGGAACAGGGAACTGGCTGGAGAAGAAAATCAAAAAATCGATAAGACGGTGTTAAGAGGAAAGCGACCGTTGGCCCCTAGCAAGATATGTCATTGGCAAGTCAAAAAGAACGTCCCAGAAGAGAGGCTGAGCATTTCTGCTCAACGGGTATCCCTACACTCGTCTCTTCTTGGTTCATTTTTTCTTAACTTTAGAGGTTAGTACCTATCCACCCTCATAGTCTCGTCATACCTCGAGGTAAAGAAGGCCTGCGGGATGGATCGAATTTTTCCAGAGTTAAAAAAACATGGAGGAACGAAAATGGTACAAAAGCTACACATCCTGTTTCATCAGATGTGGGTCTACAAATGCTTGACAGAAGAGTGGAAATGTGGGGTAATTTTAACAATATTTAATGGGGGTCAGGTGGCCGAATGCTCCAATTATCATGGTTTCACACTACTATGAAGTCCCGGGAAATGTCTCTCCTAGATATTCCTGGAGGCAGGCTTTTGTTGGGAGACTGAGCAAATCACGCTTCCGGATGGGGTATTTGTTGTTTTGATTTGCAGTTTTCGCGACTTAAATGCTGCCTTAGATTCATCGCCCGACGGTGTGGAAAATCTTGAAATGCTATGGATACCAGAGTACATCGTTTCCATTTTAGAAGAGTTTATGCAGGAAGGCTGCGTGCCATCAAATTCGAAGGAGACTGATGTCAGTGGTTCCCTATAAACTGTAGAATTCACCAGGGACATGCACTTTCGCCTCTGCTATTCAACATTGCTCTCCATTTTCTTCTCCGAAAGAGAGCTGACCATGGCAAAGAAGAAAGTGTCATTCTGCAGAGAAGATACAGTTTAAATCACCCGGCTAGATCCTGCCGACTTGGAGTACGCAGATGATATTGCGCTGGTGAGTACTATGAGAAGCGGGTTCTGTCACCTGACGGCTTCCGAATGCAACACAGCTGCAAAAGCTGGCTTGTATCTTAACGCCCAGAATGCCCTTAACGCTCAAAAGTCATGAAGAACCTATCCGATACAGCTGAACATGGAGATGAAGCCCTGCAGGAGGTTGAACAGCTACAGGAAGTAGCATTTCCAACGAGGGCGCTGTCCAGTCAGAGTTACAAAGGAGGATGGTCCATCCTGTGGTGCTTCTGGAAATCTGTCCAATGTTTGGACTGATAAAAGAATCACTCTTCCAACGAAAATACGCCTGCAGCTGTATCTGTCAGGACAATGCTATTGCACGACAAGTAGACAGCTGCTGTAATGAAGGATTAAGAACGACGGTTCATCTGCCTACAGCAGCGGTGACTTTGACGCATAATGAGGGTTAAATGGCAGCACTATATAACGAATGACTATTCTCGTCACGTGTGCCGTCAGTAGATGTAGAGATTAAGTAAAGGACTTGGTCTTGTAAGATAAACTGGTTAAGCATACAACATTTACTCAAGCTCTTGAGTTTCTCCTATGGGAGCTGGAACACGGCAGACGTCGACCAGGAGGCAAACTTGCAACACGGAGCAACAAGGTAAAGGCAGGACTGCTTTCGGAAGGGAATATTTCCTTTTATGACGCAGTAATGAGTGTCTCAACAAAAG